AAGATCATATTATTTTTCCCAAATTCATCCCTAAGTTGATGACTGGGAACTTTTAACACATATTTCTACAAAGAAAAAAAAAAGTCCATAAATGATAATTAGTTCCCAGGCCAATCTACAAAAACCTATATAACTCATAAGGTGCCTACAATTTTAAGTAAGAATTCAATTACATTTAATTTCCCTTCATAAGTGCCTCTGTGAAAAATGGTTTCAGAGCTCCAACTTAAAGATCCCATATTTCATCATTCCCCTAGAATAGTACATATGCCTATGCCCCAGGTTCTTGTTCTCTGTTATCACTTTATAAGAATGCAACCCTTCACAAACTCAACTGTCTGCAGGGGCACAGGGGAAGTGAGCCTGGTATAAAACAACAGGTGTGAGCTCCATATGTTGACACCAAGTAGAACACCTGTCAAATCGCTCTCCCTTTCAAAATATAGTGCAAGTCCAACAAAATGGACAAAGTTTGTAATCCCTTTCTAGAGTCAATGATCTCCAAGTGTTCTGAATTAGGAAGGGGGAGAGGGCAAGAAAGGATAATTTACCGCATAAGTTTTGGGAACCAAGATTCAGACTCTTCCACCACACTCTTAAATGTTCAGGTTGTTTCTAACCTAGAAAGCGTTCATGTATTGTGGACTCCCTACATCTGACAGACAGCATAAGAAGAGCACTGTGCTTCCCTCCCCTACTTTAGACGGTTTGCTGAGAGGATTAAGTGATATAATAGATGAAAGTTCTTAGCTTAGTGCCTGACTTATAGTCTAAAACCAAAACCAAACCTGTTGCCGTCGAGTTAATTCCAACCCATAGCAACCCTACAGGACAGAGTAGAACTGCCCCACAGAGTTTCCAAGGATGTAATCTTTACTGAAACAGACTGCCACATCTTTCTTGGAGTGGCTGGTAGGTTCCAACTGACACCACTGCACTATCAGGGCACCTTCTGATTCATAGTAGGAGACACTTAATAAATGTGAATTCCACTCCCCTTACCCCTTGGAGGGAGAGCCCTGGTGGCGCAGTGGGTAAGAGCTGAAGCTGCTAACCAAAAGGAACCAAAAAGTCAGCAGTTCAAATCCACCAGTCACTCCTAGGAAACCCTATGGAACAGTTCTACTCTGTCCTATAGGGTTGCTATGAATTGGAATTGACTCCAAGGCAACTGGTTTTTTTTTTTTTAATTTTTTTTAAACAAGTACCCCTTTGAGGGAGCTCTAGTGGCACAATGGTTAAGAAGTATAGCTGCTAACCAAAAGGTTGGTAGTTCAAATCCACCAGCTGCTCCTTGGGAACCATATGGGAGGGTTCTACTCTGCCCTATAGGGTCACTATGAGTCGGACTCGATGGCAATGGGTTTTGGGGGGGTGGGTTGTTTGTTTTTACCCCCTTTGAAGAGAGTCATAATTTTGATGTGGGTCGACAGGTACCCAAAGTGCATCTTTGAGGCTGAAGTTCAGAAACCCACTTCACCACCTCCCCAGTGAACATGACATAGTAAGACGGGCCATGATATAAAGTAATGGAACGTGGACAACACTGAAGCCATTCCTTTAGCTGCTTCAGTGAAGATGTCAGCACCTTACTGTCATCTACTATATTCTTTCCACACACTCATGTCCATGAGATCCAAGTGATAATTTCTACTCTTTGCCTAGAGAATTAATAGTTAAGTAGAATCAAAAGGAAATGAGAAAAAGTAGAATCCTTCAACATGTTTCATATAATGAAAGAAAAACAACCGGCTCTTTTTAAAACATGTATGTTTCTGAGTTCCCACAATTTAGTATAAAGAATAAGCTACAGCACCTTCTAGTCTTAGAACATTACAAAATTATGGAACTATAAACTATATTTTTAAATGTTAAATGTATTAAACATTATAAACTTGATATCAAGTACCAGATAGAGAATTGGTCTAATTTCTTAATTAGAAATATATTCAAAAGCAGAATAGTACACAATTGTTAGATATTAGCAACCCTGCATGTAACTTACTTGTCCTTTGAAACTACAAGTCATCAAGAAGCAATTAAGATGAACTCTACTGCATTATTGTCCAAAAAATGCAGAATTTACCAGTGCCAGTGCCATCAATCAATAATCACACAAAAAAGCATGGGAAAAAATAGGATTAAAGAGAACCTAGTTTAACTGGCACATTAAATTTTTAAAACCCAGGACTGGGCATAGAAAGGAATAGACACAATAACATTAGAAAGACTTTCAGAAGATGTATAAAGATAAATACTGTCATTGTTTTCATCAGCTCAGAAGAAAATTGTTTTCTCAACTAAACACATTTTCACAAATTAGCGAGGGCAGATTTATGGGAAACATTTCTTTGATTTAATATACGAGACAGTCTGTTTTCTGGCATGATAGAAGAATGCACTATTCTGATTTATCTAATACTCAAGTTAATAGAGAATTAGCATTCAAATAATCAGACTAGAAATAATACTGTAAATTAAGGTGAGATAATTTAATATTTGATAATTCACAAGCTCCTAGGAGCTCAGAGTTATGATCATGAATATCAATTACTACTATACTATGGCTGTTTGGAACAACATTTAATTATCTTGATTAATACAAATGTCCTAAAACCTTTCCTTTTTGTGTGTTTCAATGCCAAAAAAAAACTATAGTCAAAAATGCATAGAATGCATTTTCTCTCCCAACACAATATGTGCTATGTATTTCTTGTATTATCTGGACCTTTCTCAGAAACTGTCATTTTTACTATGCTAAAATGAACAAACCATGGGGCAGCAGATTCAAGATGTCAACAGAAAGGTCTCTGATCTCTGGGAGGGAGGAGAACAGAGCCCACCACCTGCCTACTTCCCCACTGCACAGGAATGAAAGTCTCTGGGAACAGACTCAAGAACTGTTGCCCACCAGTGACCTACCTGGTTACCCTGAAGATTAACTGGCTCATCACAATGTACAGATAATCCTCTAGGCATCACAATCCTCTAGGCATCAAAATGTTTGAAACAAATTTGAAGGTATGAGGCTTATGGAACTCTAGCCTAGTTTCTATCATATAAATCATGAGCTTCAATAGTTCACCAAAGATATGTATGTAAATATATACTTATATATGCATAGAATATTTACGAAAGGATGTATAAGAAAGTGTTATGGGGGTGGACTATGTGAGCAGGGGTATGATGTAGCTGGGAGTCTTACACATATATTACTTTTCAATAGGACCTCATTAAAAATAATAATAATAATGCACTTCATTTTCTAATATCTTTAAATATTAAGGGCCATTTACTAAATATTTAATTTACTACTATATAGAGAAAAGGTCAGGTTGATACTCAGCTGTCTCCCTCCTTTTTTGTCACAAAAAGAAACTTCAAAACAGGAGGCAGCATGACTCCCTAACAACCCTTCTGAGAATACAGCAGAATTTAAAAATGGCAAATTTTAGTTGCAAGAATTTGCATATTCCTTATACTCTATTGTTTTTATTTTTTACAATATTATAGAACTCACTGCTTTTTATCATAGAATAATCTAAACTATCTTGCCGCTGCCTGTTTTCACACACACTGGATCACATGTAGTATCAACATCTTAGAATCCAAAATGTACGTTGTTTCCTTTCTAATTGTGATGCTGTTAAGTTTCAAAACAATAAGCTTTTCTGACATGTGTGTTAAAAAAAAAATAGTTGTTTCCCTTTTATCCAAATTCACACCCAATCTAGAACACTCCTTTTCACATAATCTAAAAGCCACAATATAACAGAAACTACTACAAGTCATTTGCAACTACCACCCACTCTTCTTTTAATATAGAAATGTCCCTATTGGTTTCCAACTTCCATGTGTCACCTACATGGAACTAGGTGGATGTGTTGTGGGCTCAATCTATCCACACTGGTACTGGAAGCTCTAATTTAGAGCTTGGGAACGAGACACTCATTGTGTTGCAGTTAGACAGCTTAAACCTGAACAGGGGTTTTGAATGTATCTGCGCACCAAGTTCAAGTTGAACAGTATTTCCAAGTCAGTCTTTCATTATCATTATTGCTTTTTTATAAGTAGTTTCATACTCACTCAGAGTCTGCCAAAATTGATTTTAATCTCACATGCACACTATCACTCAAACGCATTTACGCTAAGAAGCCCTTTTCCACAGCCAGTAAGAGGGCTCTTACTTCCAGGCGACCTAACCCCCGAAGTCATGAACCCAAAAGATGAAATCTCAAACAGAAGAAACAAGCCTCGAATGGAAGGAAGATAAAGATATAAGGGGGTTGGGACTACAAACTACTTGCCAAATGAATGGAGAGAAATCCTGTCTGGTGGGGGATGGGGGTCGGGTCGGGAAGTTTTTCCCTGGACGTGGAGGAAACCACAAGGTCAGGGGATGAGGCTTGAGGGATTGATTGCTTTCCGTTTGCGCTTTCTGCAGCACAGAAACTATGGTCTCAGTCGCTCTTTACTTTGCTGTAAGGGTTCACTGAAAACTCTGCCTGCCTATCGGGAAAGTTCGTGTTTCTTGGGATTTCGGGACCATTTGAGCCGGGAGAGGATATTTGTTTTTTCACTTGAGGGTAAGCTGTACATTTCCAATTCTGTGCAGAATAAAGCTAACCCTTCACTAGAGAGCAGTGCGCAACCGTCCGGTGGTGTCTGCATTTATCCTCAGTCCTCTCTTCCTCCCTTGCATCAACGGTTTAGTGAAGCTTTCAGGGAAAATGAGAAAAGGCATCCATCAACACTCAAAGGCGCAGAACGGAACTTTTCCTCCACTGGCTGTCAGGAAAAAAAAAGTCACTTCTGCCTCTCACCGCCAAGAGCTGAGACTGGGAACCTCCGGACGAGGAAGGAAGGTTTGGTAATGTAGAGAGTGGGAGGGAGAAAACAATGCTGAGCCTGAGATGCCTCCGGGGACCGTGCATCCTGCCCGGGCCCGCGACACCCGCCCCAGCCCCACCACGCTCCGGGAGCGGCATGGCCTCCCTTACCTTAATGATGCTGCTGCGCCGGGGGGTAGCCCGCACCGCCTCCAGAAGGCTGGCCTCGCTGTCAGCCGGGGCTCCAGCAGCGCCCGGCAACGCGACCCCTCCACGACGGTCTCTCGTCTGGCCCGCAGCGCCCACCGCCAAGCCGTCCCCAGAGGCGGTGTCGGGGCCCACCCGGGCGTCTTCTTCGCCCTCCGCGGCGTCGGGCGGCACCGGAACCTCCCTGCCGGCCGCGCCCTCGGCCATGGCGGGGCGCGTGTCAGACTCCACGAGGGGAGCTGGCACGCCCGGCAGCGGAATCCAGCCGCCCCGCACGGACAAGCGCAATGCACCCAGAGGCGGCTCCGCCGGACTTTGTTTCAGCGCCCGGAGGCAGCAGCGGCAGCGGCAACTTTCTGGAGAGGAGGCATCGCTCGGGTGGAGACGTCCGCGGGCTTTGGTCCAGGAGGCCGACAGTCCCGCGGGGTGACGGCGAAGGGGTAGGAGGGGATGTAAGCTGGAGCGAGAAGGAGAGGCGAAGAGGAGAGGGAGGTGTCCGAAACGTGATGTAAACGCTTGCTCTGCGCCAAACAAAAGGCACCGGGAGCCTGGCCGCGCGGCCTCCGGGGCCAGTACGCGCGTGGCCAGAGGGTGGCCGGAGCCCGGCGACCGCAGCCCGGGGTGCCCACCACCTGCCCGCGGACAGCAGCGCGGTGGCCCCAGGAAGTGCAGCGGCGGCGGTCTCCACTCCGCTCTGTTGTGACAGGGAGGGAGACTTGTTTTGACAGCCCGTGGGGATTGGCAGGCGTCTGACCCTCTTAGGAGCTGAGCCTCGACGAGGGGTGGGGGCGGTGGTCGGCTCGACCAATCCCCACTGCGGAGGGGTGTGCCCGAGCGCGAAGAATGGAATGCGTTCCGAACTAGGAGCCGGGTCGTGTACCAGCACGAGGGTGTGTGTGCGCGCGCGCGCGAGGATGTGCGCACCCGCAGGCACCATGTGTATATTTTAGGAAGATAATCCAAATGAGCCTGAAGATGCAACCAAATCTGAAGGGAGGGAGACCTTTGTCTGCAATTAAAGCGATTTGGAGGAAAGAGGGTGCTGAGCATTAATGTCAAAGCATTTGGGGTGAGTGAGTGCAGCTTCACCTTGTCAGAGGTTAATCGAAGGCTCTCACGCCAGCCCTTAGAAGTCAAGTCCATGCAGAGATAAACCAGGGTTTACTGGGACCCGGGAGGTGAATAATTTGCTTCAGGTTCCATGAAAGGATTCTCAGTTTACTCTACAATGTGAATAAATATGACAAGGAAAGAAAGTCAGATAAAAGAGGTGAGGGAAATAGGAAACTGAACCAACTAAATCCCTCTGGAGAGCAACTCCTAACAAAGCACAGATGATGGAAGTTTACTAACTACAAGGAAAGGCGGTGGAGGGGGAACTTAGTCCTTATCTTAAAATATCCCTATTTGACAGTGGTCCAACCTCCTTTCTGTAGATAATCCTATATAAACATACGTTGCCCCTTCCAAGCAAGCTAGAGACTAAGAGGAGAGATAATTTTGGATTATGCATTAAGTCACTGAAATTAACCTTTGAATGCTCAGTTGCAGATGATGGCTTTGAGATCTCCTGGTTTCTGGCTCCAGAAGCAGCCCCAGAAGGCTGGATCCATTCAGAGCTGCCTCTCAGGATTGAGCTCCTGAGTTCCGGATTAACCAGAGCTGCCTTGAGAAATGAGGATAGAAAACTTAGTGCTTTCGTTTAAAGGCATTTTGATATTAGAATCTATGTTAAACCTCATTTACTAACATTAAATTTTAATTATTAATAATTTAATGATTTGAGATTTTACTTGTTCCTTCATCTGACCAAGAGTATGAGAATTTTTTTATTTTTTCAGACCCAGAATTTATTAGAATTTCAGAATTTTAGATGTGCAAGGGTATTTAGGGATCATCTAGGGCAGCCGTTTTATTTTACAGATGAGATGAAGGTCCAGACCCTTTGCTGTGAGTGGATTCTGACTGATAGCCACCCTATAGAACAGGGTAGAACTGCCCCATAGGGCTTCCAAGAAGCAGCTGGTGGATTTGAACTGCCGACCTTTTGGTTAGCAGCCAAGCTCTTAACCACTGTGCCACCAGGGCTCCAGATGAAGGTCTGGGGAGACTTAATGTCTTGTGCGGGAGCTGAAATTAGAATCTGCCGCCCAACTCCTCCAGTAATCTTTCACTACTTTATCTTGCTCCTCTCCAGCCGGAACTGGATGTGGCCCTTGGGAGGTTTCAGATTTAACATTTACCAGCTCCTAGGGAAGACAGAGAAGGCTTGACTTTGCCTTTTCTTTAAATATAAATGCAGTGCATATAAATAGTGTAGATGAGCAACCTCTGGTTTTAAAGCCAACACCACCCTCTAGCGACATTTTGGGAGCTACAATCAAAAATTCCTTCCATAATAGCATATGCACTTGTGGGGAGGAGACTGGTAGATAAAAGACAGGGAAAACTCAAATTTTAATTTTCAACCCTATTGTCATGGATTGAATTGTTTCCCCAAAAAATATCTGTCAACTTGGCTAGGTCATGATTCCTAGTATTGAGTGATTGTTCACCATTTTGTCATCGTGATGTGATCTTCCTACGTGTTTATAAATCCTGTCTCTATGATGGTAATGAGATGGGATTATTATCAGCAGTTATGTAGACTCAATCTACAAGATTAATTTACAATTTAAGCCAATCTCTTTTGAGATATAAAAGAGAGAAGTGAGCAGAGAGACAGCGGCACCTCATACCACCAAGAAAGCAGCACCGGGAGCAGAGCGCGTCCTTTGGACCTAAGGTTCCTGCTCAGAGAAGCTCCTAGACCAAGGGAAGATTGATGACAAAGACCTTCTTCAGAACCGACAGAAAGAGAAAGCTGGCACTCTGAATTTGGACTTCTAGCCTCCTAGACTGTGAGAGAATAAATTTCTCTTTGTTAAAGCCATCCACCTGTGGTATTTCTGTTACAGCAGCACTAGATAACCCAAACACCTGTGTTAATACAGTGTCTGCCTTTATAACCCACAGAGTAGAGGAAGTAAAAGGGTGCCTACATTTAAAACAACCATAATGTCCTTCATCCCTATTAGTTCAAAGAATTCCCACCTATCTTATATAGGAAATATGCACTTGGCCGTAACTGTAAGGTCAGTGGTTTGAACCTACCTCTGTGGGAAAAAGATGTGGCAGTCTATTTCCATAAAGATTTACAGCCTTGGAAACCCTATGGGGCAATTCTGCTCTGTCCTATAGGGTGACTATGAGTTGGAATGACTCCACCGGCAATGGGCTTGGGTATTTTTTTGGATCCACACAAATATAACATATTTTAAGCTATTATCATATTTTCCTCTTAGATATTCAACTGTTACTATGTTTGACTCCTGTCTTTTACTGTTGCTTACTATACCTCATTTTTCTTTATAGCTTCTGGAATAAAAAATTCTATTCTTGGGTTGTCCTTTGAGAAATGTAAAAATGCAATTATCTCACTTATCTTGTTCTACAATATTAATATCATCTACAAGTATTTACCATCCTACCATTCTGATAATTATTTTTGAAAGTATTAAAATCAGTGTCACTTTACTAATATTTAAAGTCAATGATCATCAAAAAAGAGAGACCAGAAAGTAAAGCACATAATGTGCAAAATTCTTTATGCTTCAACTAGACAATGTCCAGTTGGATTCTCATCTCATCCCTCCCTTAGCATCCCTGACCCTCTCTCTTTCTCTCTCTCTCTCTCTCTCACACATTCTCTCTCACACACACAATCTCACTATCTATCTTTCTCTCTCTCTCTCACACACACACATACACACACATATACACACACCTCTGAATCCTATACTTTAAGCATCTGTTCATAAAGGCTGCTGTCTAATCATTCTGCTTTGAGAAAATGGTTAAACCCTGATCTAGCAAGTCTTTTATACTGTCATCTTCTGGCATAAGTTCAGGAGACTTCTCCTGATACTCAGGTCTGAAATTTAAAAAATAAATAAATAAACCAACCCTTCTACGAACCCACTCCTACCCAGGGACAGATTTTGTTCTGTAGCCCCACCTCTAAACAGATTTGGTTAAGTCAGCAGCCGTGGGCACATTTCTATCACCTACATTAACAGGCCTTCTTTCCAAATCATGGTGGCAATCACTAGGTTGGCAGATTAGAAGTTGGAGGAGGTTGGTGAATAAAAGTAATGAATAAGCAATCCAAGTATTACCACCTCAGAGACGCCTTCTCTGACTATAAATCCAAAGATACCTCTCCAACCCCCACCCCCGCCACCACATACTGTGTTACTCATATTATTCTGTTTTGTCCTCTTCATAGGATTTTATCACTATCAAACTGTCTTGTCCATTTTCACTTATGTATTCTGTCATCCTACCCCCTACTCCTGACCCACTGAAATGGGCATAAAGACCTTGTCTATTTTATCTCTTTATCTCCAGCTCCCAGAACCCTGTCTAGCACAGAGTAGGGGCCCAATAAATATTTTTGGACAAAATCTTCACCTTTTCAACCCTCTAACTGAATAAAACAACCATTCCTGGTTAAAGAAAAATGGCTCTGTCACTGCCGATACAGTAGGATTTTTTATCCTCAAGGATCCTAGAATTCCATACTAGAATAGAAATCAGAGCAGATCCACAGAGCAAGGAGTTCATTGCAAAAATAGAAGAAGGGTGCTTATAATTTAAAGTAATTTGATATTTGGAATTCTATTGAAAGGCAACAGATAGGAACCTAGTAAGGTCTAGCAAACCTAAAAATGCCTAGCCCTGAATCAAAGATCAGTTATGTTACTGTAGTCCTTCCAGCCCAGGAAATCACTTTAGAATCCTGGGTCTGAGAAAATTCCAGTGAGAATATTAAGACTTTCCATACATTACTAGGAAATCACAGGGGGCAGAAGGAGGGGAGGCTGTCATTTTGATAACTGCTTTCTATGTACCAGATAGGAGCCTGGTGGTACAATGGTTAAGCACTGGTGGTTCAAACCTACCCAGCGGCTCCACAGGAGAAAGACCTGTCAATCTGCTCCTATAAAGATTATAGCCTAAAAAATCCTATGGGGCAGTTCTACTCTGTCACATGGGGTTGCTATGGGTTGAAATTGACTTGACGGCACCTAACAACAACAAATGTACCAGATAATCGTATATGAAGTATCCTTATCTCTAATTTACAGATAAGGAGGCTAAGGATTAAGAGGGTCAAGTAACTTGCTCCAGTCAGAGCAAGTAGGAAGCCATGGAACCAGGATTCCAGCCCCAGTCAGTGACTTCAAAGTCTGTGCTCTTCCTGCTACATGAAGCTCTTATGAGACCTAAGTCCAGTGGCTATCCTGGAGACATCATCTATCCTGAAGAAACACTCCTCTAGATCTGGGACCACTAACATTAGTCATGAAGACCTCTTCTCTTAGCATCAGTGTTACTTTACCTCTATATCATCAACACAGAGTATGAGTCTGTCTGATTTATCAGTGTGTGAGGAAGTGCATTTTATCTTCTCATTTACATATGTATAAGAAAATATTTTGATGACTAAGGCTCAATTATCTTGATACATTTAAAGATTCA